TTCACCATTCAATCCCTGATCAAACAATCTACCCTCCACCAAACTACCCAACATGGTGAAAACTAGAATACTCACCAAAGGAATGGAAAAAGACTAGAGATGACAACAATTGAACTGAACTCAAACTAACAGAAAAATGGAGCTCGGCTCGGCAGACTAGCTCAGCTCGCAGACCTCTTGAACAGATTCCTTCCAGAAAACTCCAAAGAAGCAACAATGCGTGTATGGGAACCTCGGTGAAGGACCCCATACTTATAACTTGCTAAGAAGAGAATCAACGGCGCAGATGCAAGCCACAACTGGCAGGGTGCATAGACCAGAGAATTAACAACGCAAACGCACCGATAGTCGGGTTACAGCTGGCAATGAGCGTGCGAATTCAAAAAATCGGGTGGACGCAAATTTAAAAATTCGAAATCATGCGCACAAAGCGTGCTTATTCAAATTTGAATCTGTACGCCCCTCCAAAAACATTCTCCCACGCGCACGCCAACCTTCCCCCTTTTTTTTAGATTCAAAATTTTGAGGGGCGCAGTTCAAGTAGCCCCAGGCCAAGCTCAAGCGAGTTAAGTGACCCAGCCGGACCAAACACCCCATCAGGACCTACTTTCTTTGTCGAGCTGACACCGGCTTGAGAGTGGGGGGCAATTGATGAAGGGTAATTTGGTCCTCCCAAACAAGTGGCAACACGTAGCCCTTATCAACATCTCAACATTGAGTTAGCAGACTAACTCGACAGGTTAGCTCAGAGCACCTCGTATAGCCCAATCTCGACCTTGGCAAGGGTGAGCTGGCAGAGCCTGTAAGGTCATTGGCGACTTGGCCAAGAAGCCAATCGAGATGAGGTGAGGCAGCCTGCAAGGGTGAGCTCGCTAACTGTTTCCGTAAACTCACTACCGAAGACGTCGATATCATGATCATTAGAATAGCTCGTCGTACCGTGCGCCAGATTCTACTCGAACGAACTATAACCGCCATGCGAAACTCGCAATCAACACATTAATATGCCCTATATTGCGGAAACAGCTCTACCAGAAGCTTGGGGACATTACCAAAAGTGCCTTGAGGCCCCTGATGACTATAAAAGACATCCAGATTCATCCAAGAAAGGTACGCGCACTAAGACTCTCAAGCTCCCTCACACTCTCAGAGAATTCCTCTTACTGACTTAAGCATCGGAGTGCTCTCCCCGGGTAAAAGACACCTGGGCATTCTCACCTTCTTTCCTTTGCAACACACTCTAGCTCAGATATATTAGCATCAATTTGGCTCAGCTCGGCCCAGTGAATCTTCACTTTAGAGTCTAATGTCACACAATCTGGATGCTTCCTCGTGGCAGGTGACTCAAGACTCTAAAATGAAGGGTAATTTGGTCCTCCCAAACGAGTGGCGACACATATCCCTTATCAACACCTCAACACTGAGTTAGCAGACTAATTCGATAGGTTAGCTCAAAGCACCTCGTATAGCCCAATCTCGACCTTGGCAAGGGCGAGCTGGCAGAGCCTGTAAGGTCACTGGCGACCTGGCCAAGAAGCCAACTGAGATGAGGTGAGGCAGCCTGCAAGGGTGAGCTCGCTAACTGTTTCCATAAACTCACTACCAAAGACGTCGGTATCATGACCGTTAGAACAGCTCGTTATACCATGCGCCTGATTCTACTCGAACGAACTATAACCGCCATGCGGAACTCACAATCGACACATTAATATGCCCTATATTGCGGAAACATCTCTGCCAGAAGCTCGGGGACATTACCAAAAGTGCCTTGAGCCCCCCCCCGATGACTATAAAAGACACCCAGATTCATCCAAGAAAGGTACGCGCACTAAGACTCTCAAGCTTCCTCACACTCTCAGATAATACCTCTTACTGACTTAAGCATCGGAGTGCCTCCCCGGGTAAAAGACACCTGGGCACTCTCACCTTCTTTCCCTTGCAATACACTCCAACTCGGATATATCAGCATCAGTTTGGCTCAGCTCGGCCCTGTGAATCTTCACTTTAGAGTCTAATGTCACACAATCTGGATGCTCCCTCGTGGCAGGTGAATCAGACTCTAAAGTGAAGATTCGCTGGGCCGAGCTAATCCAAGTTGATGCTGATATATGCGAACTGGAGTGTGATGCAAGGGAAAGAAGGTGAGAGTGCTCGGGTGTCTTTTACCTGGGGAGGGCACTCCGATGCTTAAGTTAGTAAGAGATATTCTCTAAGAGTGTGGGGGAGCTTGAGAATGTCAGTGCGCATACCTTTCTTGGATGAATTTGGATGTCTTTTATAGTCATCGGAGGGCTCATGGCACTTTGGTAACGTCCTCGAGCTTCTGGCGGAGCTGTTTTCGCAATATAGGGCGTATTAATGTGTCGGTTGTGAGTTCCGCATGATGGTTATAGTTCATCCGAGTAGAATCTGGCACACGGTACAACGAGTTGTTCTAGTGGTCGCGATACTGGCACCTTTGGTAGCAAGTTTACGGAAATGGTTAGCAATCTCACCCTTGCAGGCTGCCTTAGCTCACCTCAGCTCRACTGGCTTCTTGGCCAGGTCGCCAGCGACCTTATGGGCTTTGCTAGCTCGCCCTTGCCGAGGTTGAGATTGGGCTATGCAAGGTGCTTCAAGCTAACCTATTAAATTGGTCTACTGAGTCAGTGTTGAGATGTCGATAAAAGCTAAGTATCACCACTCGTTTGGGAGGACCAAATTACCCCTCATCAATTACTTTAAGAAATTTACCGTCGAGAACAAAATACTGCTCTAAGTCTACCGGAATGGGTAGGTACATGGCACATCCACAAACATAAAAAACCCCATGGGAGGTATTCGTAATAGTATAGTATACAGCCCAAATATGGGGTGCCACAAATCCACCGACTTTAGGGGACGAGTAAGGTCGATGACTACTTTATAATTGCCTTGATTTTGGTGAAAATCATAAAAATTAAATTTGATTATATAAAATTAGATCATTTACATTTACACTAGTGCCAATTAATGCAGTTCATCCACTTCTTTACTTGCCTTTTTTTGTTAAAATAGACTGATTACGTTTCTTTCTCTTGAAGAACATATATACAAAAATATTTATTCATTTATTTATCATGTGGCATCTCTTAGAAACAAGAAAAAAAACACATCTAGATTGATGTACACCCCCTTGATTGCTTCCTTTATTCTTTTTATTTTTAATTATTAAAAAAATATTGATGGATCTTTTTTTCTTCTGGGTTTTTTTATTCTTTTTGTAAAAAAAAATCATTACACAAAAAATAAAAAAAAACAAGCAAAAACTTAAAGAACACAAGCAGCTACAACTGAAGAAAAGGAAAAAAAAAAACAAACAAACAACACCTATCAAGTATCCGCTAAACATCCAAACACCCTATACATAAGACCATAACCATAAAATCAGAAAAGCCAACTCGGCATGGAAGCCCAGAAGGAACCATTTTCAGATAGGCCTGCTGAGCCAGATCAAGGCCTAGGTTTTTATTGACTTTGCTCATGCTGCTTGTTTCTCTTCTACCTGAGTTATTGCATAGGGGTGCAATTTGAGCGGAACTGGGCTGGGCCTTTTTTTATAATTTAAATGGATCCAGTTCAAAGGCCCGAATCCAAAGCTGTATAAAACGGTTTATATAAATGTGAATGTAAATGAGTAGAGTGTAAAACCATTTATATAAATTGTAAAATTGAATTAGTTTTACAATTTTAGCTGTAATAAATACAAATATGGATTTCAATAAAGCATATGCATTTTTTTTAATCAAAAACCAACTTTAATACAAATTTACTTAATTGTATTTTCACATCTTATTATCAATATAAATATGCATTTAACTATGATTTATCAATGCATAAATATAAATAAAGGCAAAAGTAGTACAAATTTATCCTTAACCGGAATTTACACTCGCATGTCGCATCAAAACGCAGCCTGAGCCCGGATATCGTGAAAAGCAAAAAATCGTGCGAACACGCACGGCATCCAGCCGCACATCGGGAATTGTTCGCACGGTTTTTTGCTTTTTAGAAAAAAATTCCCGCCTCGAGATTAACAAGAATCATGGTCACGTACTCACGTCTGGAGACAACCCCTAAAACTTGCCGCGCGAGTAATCCAGGCCATTTGCACGTGTTACACGTGTCATCCACACGACCGTTCGATTTTTTCCTCGCCTAAGCCCTTCGTTCGTGTTAACATAAACTCAAGCACGCGGCCGCACACGCGTGAAACCCTAGAATCTGCATTCTCCCCTACACCCCCTCAAATCGCCGGAAACTCGCCGGAAGTCACACGTACGACCCCCTTAGAACCAAATCGAAGCCTTCCTTACACGGAGCTCCGACAGATCTGGTAACCCTATTCGCCTGCAATGTTCAGGTTCCGATACGATTCGCCGGAAAGGGTTCAACCTTACCGGAGAAGACCGAGGGGTTTCTGAAGCTCGTCAGGACATCTGGCTTTGGTCGGAAAGGTGAGATATTGTTAGACAGACGTCGCTGTGAATGTCCGCATTTAGAGGGAAAAGGTAGAACACGTGATGGAAAGATTTCATAGAGTGGATTTCGAGGATTTGATGAATTCTGATTAGGGAAGAAACCCTAAACGCATAGGGAAATTGACGTGTGAAGATATGCACTCGTCGTCGAGTCGAAAGCTGCAGAGCCACAAGGTTTCATTAATTTCATAGGCGAATGGCGAGTTCTAATCAGCAAACATAATAGAGCAACCAGGTAACCTCAGAAAAGGCTTTTTCTCTAGTTTATTTGTTTAGATGAGATACCAGTTGCTCGAAATAAAGCAGGAAAAAGTTCGAGAAAAAGTTATCAAAGTCGATAATATCACCATCAAAACTAATCCATTCCCTTTCAAAATTCCGCTAGAAATTAATGATCCAATTTTTATCAAAAGAACCAGAATCTTACTCAAATTCATATGTTGCGTTCTCGAATTGCAGTAACCCGAAGTATGCGAACACGCGAAAGCAATACGAATTAAGAAAGGAGAGAAAAGGAAACAGTTATGGCCCAAGAGATGGAAAAATTGGGGGGAACGAGCGAGGAAGATGACGAAGAAATGGATATGGGAGTGAAAGAAGAAGATGACGAAGACGAAGACGATGAGGAGAAGAAAGCAAACAGCGATAACGCCATGATAAACGCCAGTGAAGGAATTGCATGTCCAAACAGCTTTCAAGAACAACAGCAAGAACAAGACCAGCAGTTGGCTGGCTCCGGAGGGCCTCGAAGGTGTCGGCCAAAGGAAGAGAAAGAAAGAACAAAACTACGAGAGCGGCATCGGAGAGCGATCACAGCAAGGATCCTGGCTGGCCTCCGCAGGCACGGCAACTATAATCTCAGGGTTAGGGCTGATATTAACGACGTCATCGCTGCTCTGGCGCGAGAGGCTGGCTGGATTGTCCTTCCTGATGGAACTACTTTTCCTTCCAGATCTCAGGTGCCTACTTCTACTTCTATACATCTTCAGGTGTTCTTCCCTCTCTATCATAATCTCCACTCTCTCTAGCTCTCATTTCAGTAAAGTATCTCTCTCCCTAGTTTTCTCCATTTTTTATTCGAAAACTCCAGGCTACATCGACCTCTCTCGTTGCACGCTCTCTACGCTTCACAGATTTACGGGATTTGGTGATTCGTTGGCTGTTTTTCGTTTACAAAATTTTCCTCTTTTGTTGTGTATTAATTATTTTTAGATGACCTATCGAAAACCATCGGATTGGAATCCTTTTTTGTCTGGGCATAGAACCTCGGATTATTGTATCACGATTCCGAGATAAAAGATCCCAATCCAAAGGTGGGTAGTGGGTTGCTGGCTTGCTGCTTGAAAGAGGCTGACAGTCTTTTGACTCCTGAGGATTCTTTTATTTCATTCTTTCTTATAGCTAAGCTAAACTACCTATTAAGTAACTTTTTAGAGTTAGAGATCTTGTTAAAACCGTTGGATAGTCATCGAATGTGAAGCCTGATGGATCAAGTTTGCCACTTGGCAGCCTGATGAACACCTAATCCAGCTAGATTAGTTGTTCTTTTGGTAGCTTGGACCTACCATGACAGATTGGTGACCTTCCAGTTGCCACTGTGGATTAGCGATCTCTCTAATTCATGCAATCTCCCAACAAAAGGAGATCCAAATAAATCGTGCTGCGGAACTTCTTCTTACGTCGATTCGTTATACGATTACGGTTGGTTTACAGTTTTGAAATTGGAGACGTAGTCTTGGAACGGTATTCGGTAGCCACTATCACGGATTTCCTTCCTCGCCACTTCTCTTTTTTTCTATCTACCCGTGTGCGCAGGCGTGAATTTGTTTCATTTTGTATTGGGTTTGCTTGGAAATGCTAAATCCAGCTTGTGATCTCCATTTTCAAGGGGTCTGCTGAGGAAAACCAAAATGGGGATTTTGTCTGTTCAAATTTTTCAGGGCGCAAGGCCTGCTGGCGCCGCTTCGAATGCTGCCGTGACTTCATCGTCGTCGCATGTGGTACCGTTGCAGAACCCGCCCACCTCCTTGAGAGGAGGAACCTCTCCTGGGTTCAGGACTATAGTGGATTATCGTTCGGGTCGAATGAAGGGCGTCTACATGCCAACTTCCTCTCCTTACGGGAGGTCCTCTACCACTCGGTCTCGAACGCTAACCATGGCGGTGGATAGAGGAGGGACTGAAAATTCTTCTCTCGCCGGTAATTGTATGGACACTGTTGATCATAAGCAGGTACATATTCATATCTTCCCTGTTCCGAGTTTTTTCCCCGAAATTTCTAGTTCACTAACGTGTGGTTCTTGTGGGGAAGTTTATTTTCTATGAATTTCAATCTTAGTTCATAGCTATATTTGTGTTGGTATTAATCAGCATTTCTTTTCTTTTCCGTTCTTGCTTTCACTGGTGACAATATTGTAAGGTAATTTGCAAAATTGATACAAAAATAGAAAACAGAAGCAGTGGAAACCATTGGAAAACACAAGGGGAAGTTCAGTTAGGCTAATGTTATATGGAACACAGTAATAGACAATCAAGAACCAATATCTCCATAAAATCAGCATAGTCACTTATCAAAGAAATAAAATAAAATAAAATCAGCATAGTTGACATAAGAATATTGAGATGAATGAATGGGAATCCTGGAAAGGATAAATTTAAAGATGACTAAATTCCTAATAATTCGAGAGTGGCCCCAATAGTTGATGGAAGTTGAGGGTTGTGGGAGAGCTAGAGGAAGTGTGAAAAAGGCATGGTTGAGGTTATGGGAAAAAGATCTGAGGACTCACAAGTTACAATGTGGCAGGAAATATGTCCCTTGTTAGAGTGAAATGGCAAGACAAAATCTCTAGTTGATCCTGTGTAGTTGGAAGCTTTATTGAATTGGGTTCAGTATTTATTTCTTCTGTGTTTTCCACAGTGAGTGGTTGTTTCTAGAAAATCAATGACCATTTCTGGAAAATGGTTTTGGAATTTATACTTGAAATCTAGCTCAGCTATGACACCTATCTTTTGCAGTGTCATTTATACATTATATAAATACACAGATTGACTTCTATTTTCAAGAAATTTTTGCCTTTGGTTCTATTTTCCATTGTTTCTCGTCTTTTACAGGTAATGGATATAGCTCCAAGGTTGCGAGAGCGGGATTTTGCGGGCACCCCTTATGTTCCAGTTTATGTAATGCTACCTGTGAGTTCTTTTTATTTCATCTTCTTTAAGTTATGATCTTTTGAGAAATGGTTTTGATTTTGGTTTGGTGGATAATTTATATTATATTGATAGCTATTGTGTTTTAAATATCACCTTCATATCTTTTCATTGTCGGCAGCTAGGAGTCATTAATAAGAAGTGTGAGCTGGTTGATCCAGATGGGCTACTGAAGCAGCTAAGAGTACTAAAATCAGTTAATGTTGATGGTGTTATGGTTGATTGCTGGTGGGGAATTGTTGAGGCACACACTCCTCAAGAATATAACTGGAGTGGTTACAAGCGGCTCTTTCAAATTGTGCGAGATCTCAAGCTTAAGTTACAGGTGATGTATGCACATATCCTTGCTTTCAAATTGGGGAGAGGAGGGGTAGAGGTAGATTGAATACAAAGTTGAGGGGTGTGGTTTGTGAAGAAATAATTGGGGGGGAGGATATGCCTGGTTATGTGTGTGATTCGAAGATGATTTCTTATCACTTTTCCATTTTTAATCCCTTTTTCTTATTAATAATTTATTCTTTTATTATCAAAATTTATTAGTATTTTAATCTCCATGCATTCTTGCTGTGTAATATTAGAGAAAGGTGTGAAATGTGAACTGCTAATTTCCACCATCATTATCCAAGCCTTTTCCCAATTATATGGGGTCGTCTACATGAATCCTGTTCGCCATCTGTTCTGTTTAATGCCATATCCATCTTTTTTCTCTTTCTAATAATTTATTCCTTAATTATAAAAAACACACATATCCTTGTTACTTTATTGGTATTTTAATTTCCATGTATTCTTGCTATGTGATATTTAGAGAGAGATATGAAATGTGAACTGCTGGTTTTCCATGAGAAATGATATTTTTTAGTGCCTCAGCTCGGCTCAGCCTTAACACCAACTATTTGGGGTTGGCTACCTTAATCCTGTCTTCCTACTGTTCTCTATCAAGGACCATCTTTTCTTTTAAATTGCAAACCCATGTTCATATTTGGCTTGGGTAAAGGATTTTATGATAGCTGCCAATCTGATACAAATACAACCCTCAACCTTTATCCAGGTTTGGGGATGCAGCATAAGATTAGCTAACATTGGTAGAGTCGATATCTTTCAGTCCCTATGGAATATAATTATTGTTTTTTGAATTTTTAACTGTACTAGGTGGTAATGTCATTTCATGAATGTGGAGGCAATGTTGGTGATGATGTTTGCATTCCACTGCCACACTGGGTGGCAGAAATTGGTCGAAGCAATCCCGACATATTCTTTACAGATAGAGAAGGAAGGCGAAATCCTGAGTGCCTCTCATGGGGGACTGATAAGGAACGAGTTTTAAGAGGCCGGACTGCTGTTGAGGTATTGGATTCTGTTTTCTGTTAAACAACAATTTATACTTTTCTGATGAGAATACATCTACTCTAACATTGGTAGCTTTTGTCCTGTGCATTTTATGTATCTACTTATGTGTGCATTTTATGGGAAAACCATCGATATTGGGAAAAAAAACTGCCACAATCCCTGAAGGACCCAGGTTGTCAAGAGAGCTACCATCAAAGTGTAATGTGATCTCTCCATCTACTCGAGAACCATTGATATAAAAAGATAAATCCCCAAGTCCTTGAAGGGCCTGGATTGCCGATTGCCAAGAGAGCTGCCATCAAAGTGTAATGTGACCTCTATCTATTTTGAGAGGGCTTATGAGTTCTAGGCTATGGAGCTCAGGGGGAAGATTGATAATTTCTACAAGGTTCCTATGCATGGAACAAGGCTCAAAGTATCAATGAGATATGCCCCATATCGAGCATATTGTTTTGTATCTTTGGGGTACCGATACCCCTTTTTTAGGTTTTTTTATAATTATATAACATAAAAATAAACCTCCTGTGAAATTTTGAAAAAAAATAAAATAAAAACAAAAGATGCACAAGGTTCAAAAGTGTTGATAGTTGATACACCCCTTCTGGCATGCTGTGGTGTATCCATACTTTGAACCATGGCATGGAGTTGAGGAAGAATGATTTGAAATCCTTTGTTGCTAACATCCAAGAATTCAGAAGATAAAAAGAGTGTGGTTTCTAAGGCAGCAAAGGGGGCACTCTACCTTCTGAAACTTGATTATGTTTCTTTCTTCCACACTCCCAACAAACAGAATGTATGGTAAAGTCTTACTTTGAAGCTTGATCTAACTGACCTCTATTGTTGTAACAGGCCCATGCTTCCTAGGGCCACCCACTCCAAACCAATTAGTTTCAAGATATGCCACAATGAAATTACTACCAACTTTATTGAATAGAACTTCTCTGCCAAGGACTTTTCTAATATCATTCCTTTTAGTAGATCATATCTGATCATATAGTTTTTAGGGGATGCAACTTGGAAGAATGTTAGGGAAACCTGCAGTAGGATGACATGATAATAAAAACAAAAGTATTTTGCCTAGATGGGCACATGTAAATATAATAGTTTGCTTCCTATCTTGCTCTACTTTGCTTCTTAATTTTCCATAATTAGTCTGTGAACCTATTTAAAGTACTATTCAGCCATGCAAATACTACTTCTACTAAATTTTTAGCATTTGCATTTTGGTATAAATGACATGTAGGTTTACTTCGACTACATGAGAAGTTTCAGAATAGAATTTGATGAATTCTTTGAGGATGGGATCATTTCTGAGATTGAAGTTGGATTAGGTCCCTGTGGAGAGCTACGCTATCCATCTTATCCAGTAAAGCATGGGTGGAGGTATCCTGGCATTGGTGAATTTCAGGTAACCTTCTTGTGTAACTTTTTTTTATACAAGGACCTTTTCCCAATCATTATGACTATACAACTGTGTTCATGAGTCACATTCCTTCCTGTGCCTGTCATTCCCACAACCTGTTGTCTTTAATTTTGACAGGGGGTTATGTTTTTGTTCTCAAGTGGTCAAGCCTGACAAGAACTGGAAGGAAGTATAAGTCACCTGTTACCAAACTTAGCATTAGTATATACATGGTAACATTAAGTTATGGTTCAAGCTATTCATCAAAAAAAGTTATGGTTCAAGTTTGTGTGGTTATATTGTTATAGAACAGCTGTACATATATACTTTATAGTATATTACTAAGATTGTTCTACTACAGTTTGCCGGAGTTCTCTTAGTCAACTTTGTCCTTCATACTGCACAACCGGCTAGCATTATTTAACTCATGTCTTCTCCGTTCTCATTATTTATGATGTGCTCCATATCTAAAATTTTGAGTTCCATTTAGGAACTTGGCATTTTATTATGGATTTGTGATCTTAGCATCTAGGGAAATTGATGCTCTTCTTCAAAGGAAGGAGAGAAAAGTGTTGTTTATGACAACTTTTGAGTCCATTTCTTAAAACTGGTAAATTTACTTCTGTTTATGGTTAAAAATCTTAGTTAATTCAGTTTAGGACTTAAGTGTCAGGTGATGATTTTTCCATTATCTTTTTTTAGCTCTTTTTGGGATTGGAGCTTATGAAATTATAACAGCTTACTTTTCCTCTTGCAGTGTTATGATCAGTATTTGTTGAAGAGTTTGAGAAAAGCAGCAGAAGTAAGGGGGCATTCCTTTTGGGCTAGAGGGCCAGATAATGCAGGTTCTTATAACTCCCGGCCACATGAAACTGGATTCTTTTGTGATGGAGGGGATTATGATAGTTATTATGGAAGATTCTTTCTTAATTGGTACTCCCAGATTTTGATTGACCATGCTGACCGAGTGCTTTCTCTGGCCAAGTTGGCTTTTGAGAGCACCTGCATTGCTGTAAAGGTGAGCCCTTGTTCTATAGTGTTCTTACTACAGAAATGAGCAAATGATTTCTTACCCACAAAATAGATTCAATAAAGACTACCACTTTTCATTTTTCTTTAATTTATAATTTTATATTAGTATTCTATACATGGTACTTGGGGGAAAGAAAAATGCAATTGGTGATTGGTGATGATATGTTGTTCTTGAAAAGCCAATCCACATAGTATGTATTATTGGGGAAACTTGAGTCATTTTAGCAAAGGTCAATTTAACTGTTGGGGAGAAGTTTTGTAGGGCTTAGAGTTATATTTCATCATATATGAGCTTAAAGCCCTCTTACTAACCATAATCCCCATTTTAAAGTTTGTTAGCTGGCACATATGTACCTTTAAAATGCTGTATCGTCTTTCTTGTAACTTGATAAGATTTTTTTTTTTAAGGCTCAGTTTGTTTGCAGTACAAATTATATTTGCACTGGTGTAAATGCATGGAAGTGAAAATAGGCTGAGTTTAAATTCTGGTTTTCATTTGCTTTAGATTTGACTTTCTCTTATTTGTTTGTAAGAAGTCAAATGATGTGGTCTCCACCTTACATGAAGGAGAATGGAGGTAGGAGGGTTATTTGTTTGGGAGTGAGGTAAGAAGCAAATAATGTGGTCCTCCCACTTAAAATGAGAGAGAATTAATGGAGGAAGGTGGTGCAAGTTTTGCATCAGTTTTGCTGATAAAAAAAAAAAAAAAAAAAAAGTTTCGCATCAGTTCTTGGGATGCAAAATTTGCACCGGCAATGAATGCAAATGAGATGAAAAAGTACAAATTTTATATTAAGTAGGAGTTTAAACCAGCCACAAACAAATGGGTGCAAAATTGAACTGGGTACAAATTTGTATCCAGAGTGCAGATTTGCACTGCAAACAAACAGAGCCTAAGGAAAAAATATAGTAAGAGAAGCGATTGATATAATGACCATTATCTTGATCCTTTCTCTAAACTTTTTTTTTTTTGTTAATGAGCAGTTATCAGGTATTCATTGGTGGTACAAGACAGCCAGCCATGCGGCTGAATTGACTTCTGGGTTTTACAATCCATGCAATCGGGATGGTTATGCTGCAATTGCTTCAATGCTAAAGAAGCATGGGGCTGCTCTTAATTTCACATGTGTTGAATTGCGCACTTTGGACCAGCATGAAGACTTTCCAGAGGCACTGGCTGATCCTGAGGGCCTGGTCTGGCAGGTAACAAGTTGGTTTTGTTTAAAATGATTCTCTGCATATGCTGGCCCAGAATACTGCTTCAGTTAGAAAGAAAGTTCTATAGAGAGACTACAAATATAGCAGATGGCTTTTGAAAATCCTAGTTTATTTGTAATCATGTCCAACACTGAAGAGACTTTCATGAAGTGTAATTATTTTCTTCTTCCTCAAGTATTGGACATTTCTGAAGACTGAAGGTGTTATTTTTTCTGGGTTCTCAATATACTATGAAACAAAACTTACCTTCTTAGCCTAAAGCAATTTGGTTCTCCATTTATATGATATCTACTAGTGACTTTGTTCTGCAAGTTTTTTCTCTATTATTTTCATTTTTTTGGTAGAAGGCATGTGCTTGTCAATATAATTTGTGACAAAGAATCTCCATTGTATTACTGCTTTCATTTTCAGGTACTTAACGCTGCATGGGATGCTTCCATACCTGTGGCTAGTGAGAATGCTCTTCCTTGCCATGATAGAGAAGGATACAATAAGATATTGGAAAATGCCAAACCATTGAATGATCCAGACGGACGACACCTATCAGCATTCACATACCTCAGGCTAAGCCCACTTCTGATGGAGAGGAACAACTTTCTGGAGTTTGAACGGTTTGTCAAGAGAATGCATGGTAAAGCCTTGTTAATTTATTTGCATTTTCTGCATTTATCTCTGTCCCTTGGACAATGGCATATACTTGGTTTCAGCTGAACAACAGAACAAGATCAGCCTTGAAAAAGAAATAGGCTGTAGGCCTGCTTTCGTCTTTGTTATTGAAAAAGTGGTGATAAACTGGGTAAACTTGCCACCATGCCATTGGATTTTTTTCCCAAACTTGTGGATTATCCATAGTGACAACTTGTTAAATGTTGTTTCTCTTGACTTCTCAATGGAATCAAAAGTTGAATATGTTTGCAAATTTCTAAAATATTGCTAAAATAGCATTCACATATTTACACATTGCTAAAAGATTTCATGTTAACAATCATCTATTTATTTTCCTTCTTTGAAAAAAAAAAAACGTTTTATCATGCTTGGACCTCTTGGGCAAGTGTTTTCATGTTTTGCGCTGCATGTGCTCATTGTCTTTATTTCCTACATCTTATAACAAGTATTAGGAGTTTCAACAATCGGGATGCTTTCTAAGGATCAAAATCTTCCATTTGTTGTTAGTGCATTAGATGTTTTCGAGGCTTCTTCATGCTTATTTGATGGAACAAGTTTGGTCACTTGACAGTTTCTAGTCTAATACTTTCTAGTAGGAGGAATTGAATTATGGCTGGCATAAGCAATCAAAGTTTTCCACGTTTTACATTATTACGTTGTACAACATATTGAAGAGCTTGTACATTAGTCTTTTTGTTTATTTACTTGTTTGTGTCTTTTTCTTTTTCTACTTTTTAGGGGGTGGGGATGGGAATTGGGCAGGAAAGTAAATGGCATTTTAACATTTGTAGAATATGTTGTGTTTTTGTTGTTTTTATGCATGTGATTCAAAAGTTTTTAAAGGATATTTTAGTCTTTTTGTATTTCACACATGTTTGCGCATCACCTTGTATTTTTATCTAAATTTTTTTTTTCTCCAATTGTTTTGAAGCTTTTAGCTTCATGTACTTTTCTTTGAGTTCCACATGGGAATGGGATAGGAAAAAGAAGCTCAATGGGGTTATCTCTAGTAATCCCTTTTCCTATAGGACCCAAATGGGGAGAGTATATACTTACCCCATGCTTGGGAGTATGTGGAAATCTTTATCACATGTGTACACGCCAAGCCAGACTGGGTTGGGGCGTGGGGCCAGGTGCTTATGCATGTGTATATGTAACCGAAATTAATTTGAAGTAGTCTCTACTCTCTATCTCTACTTTATTTTTTTTTTTTAATTGCAATTTTTCATTTATTTTAAAACATGTCTTTTTAATTGTAAACAAAATGTATTTTGTTACGACCTTTCAACATGTCTTTTGCTGCGTTGTGTTTGTTGTCACAATGTGCCAATGGGTCTATTTATATTAAACCCATGGATATCTGAGGCACACAACATTCTTCTACATTTTTCTGCGTTTGCCTTCATCTCTGCATCTTCTCATTACATTCTACCAAGTTGGAAGATTGTTGTGGTTTGTGCGGTTTAGTATTTCATGCGCATGGTTATCAAGTACTTTCAAGGCTGTTGAATCCTAGAACAGACAAAGGACAATGTCCTTGATATGCTTCAGCCCATAAGTCTATTTCTTCTGCCCTTATTTATGTGTTAGTAGTGTTGTACTCTAATTCTTATACAATAATCTTGAGCTGAATTGTTTGATCATATTATTGGAATGTAGCTGTGGCATTGAGATCATGACATCACTAGCTGATTGACACGAATCTCATTCGTTTGGCAGGGGAAGCAGTTATGGATCTCCAATTATAAGAGAGCCGAGATTATACCTTAGGTAGTTGGGTTCACAAATAATCACTTCGGAACTACACATGATTCTCTTCTTTGCAGGTGTAGAAAATATTGTAAATGAAATCATATCACGTGACAAAAATAGACGTTTTATTTAAATTCGCAGTCTTGCCATTGTTCTTTTGGCCTATAAACTAACCCCGGTGAAACTCGTTAATTTGAATCACATATATGTATGTATATATATGGGCAATCTTTAGGCTCCGTTTATCTGAAGCAACTGGCCAATCCAGGCCGGGTTAGATCAGATTGAGGTCAACCCTGATGCCTGATCCGATCCAACCCAAGTTCTTGAACCCCAATTGCAGCCTCCGGTATTTAGGTACACACAGTACTGGTTTCTTTTAGTTTTTTTTTTCAAAATTTGGTTTTTGGGGAGTTAAAAAAGAGGTCTTAAAACACTTGTAAACTATCAGAACTCAAAAGATAGATACGATATACCTGATACATTACTGACCACACTCAGTCGCACGTTGAGAATATTAATGACTATGATACAATCGATTTTTCATGTGTGGCTGCATGGCTAGCAATGTATTGTGTTCAGCAGATCCAAACTCTGCTTGACCTTACTTACTGCTAAGCATGGTTTTAAAACTATCGTTGATCTGGGTGATCGAACTGCTTGACCCTGGAAACTGGCCGCTTAACTGATTTCATTTACCACCTGGTCCGGAAACTATCGTGGACTCTGTCAGCAAACAACTGGCAACCGTTGAACAGCTGAACTGTGTGACTTGGACAACAGTTTTTGCTTTGGATCAATTTTATATTTTAATTAATTTTTATTTTTAAATATTTAATAGTCCTAGGTTGATCCATTCGGAACAGATGATTGAACCGCTGACCGAGGCAAAAGCGGTTCCTGTTAGTGAAGCCAGGTTAGGAACCTGCTAGGTTTAGGTTTTGGTTGGCCCAATTTCTTTACTTATTTTTTGCTTTTAACAGGAGAAAATGTTCTCACTTCTTAAGATCAACCAATCAAGGTTAGTTAGTTACCTTAAACACATACTTTGAAATAAAGAGGGTGTTTGGTTTTGTTTACTTATTCAATAAACGTTCTGTACTTGTATGATTGCAAAATCGAAAAACACATTTAATGAGTGCATTTATGACACATAGGCACTATTAGGCACCACATCAGAAAAATGCCAATAAATGCTTACCTGTTTCAGGAAGCTCCAAAATGAATCTTCCTGAAAAAGGAGAGGCACACAGAAATCGATACATATAAATGCAATTAATAAGGCATTTGTTGACAGGGCATTTATGTAGCACCGTCAATAAACGTTTACTCAATAAACATAAACGGCCCAAGTTGTATCTTTACTAGCAGCTTGGTTTGCAGAGTCAGAATCTGCTGACCACAACACATTGCTGGTCATGTTCACCCAACTGCACATATGGAACATTGGTTGTGTTGTAATCACTAATATTCTCAACATATGGTTAGATAAGTGTGGCCAACAATGTATTGTAATGAGCAGATCCAAACTCTGGTTTGCAAACTTTGGCCTGAATTTATCAGAGTAGTGGCAAGTTCAATCCAAGAAGCAGGTGGCTCTTCCCCACATTTATAGCAATTGTGAAGCTGTGCCACTCGGCCCACTCCCACTTTGGAGAATTGTGATTCCCCTCATGTAGGAAATAGTTATTATTTGTGTCTAGACCCGGTGTTTTGAATCGGAAAATGATGTCCAAATGTTTTCTTGGCAGGTAAGATCGCCCCAGGAGGAATTCATCCCTAGCAATGGTTAATGAGTAAGATCGCCCCAGAACATGGATAAATGCATTTACCTAGATAAATAACTTACAGAGAAGCAAAGAAAGCACAAATTTAACATATATTCATTCATCCAAAAGGGAAGAAGATGCAAGATTCATCCTACTTTAAATTGTTGTTATTACCCTAATGGAAGAACTACTAGATAGCATCAACTCTCTAAGTATATGTTTGGCATCGATGCTGTATACAGCACCATTTTCTGTGTGGGTTGGAAGCATCGTTTTCTGCAACATTGGTGTCTTTTTTTTTTTGTTTGTTTGGAAACGTTTTTGCCAGGTAAGACGTTTCCTGGGGCAACAGCAACACCTGTTTGGTACTAGTACTCCATATCTGTTTTCAGCACTGATACCCATTATAGGAAGTCCACATCACTGTCACATCATGTCCTCGTTAGCAGCAATGAACTCCAAATTGAAAAAATGCCAAATTCAGCATTTTTCCATACCACGCCTTCTCAATTTTTAAGGCATAGTTTGGAGCACCATTTTTTATGAAAAAATGGTTCCAAATATATTATCATTTTCTAGAACAGCAATTTTTCCAACGTAATGCTGATGTATCACCATTTATAGAGCAACAGCATCGATACCAAACACCGCCTAAGGGAAACAGGATGAATTTTATTTCTTTTTCTTATTCTCTAGGCATCGATCCGTACATTGAGAATATTTTCCTACAAATTTAACATATATTACCAATGTGAGACTGAAAGCAACACTTGTCCCTGTCAACCCCTTACTGGTTACTGCTGTAGCAAAGTCTATCCAATTTCCAGTGATAAAAGAACGCAAACTAGCCCGTGACGTTTGACCGCAACAGGGTAATAGGTTTGCATTGATTAACCAACCAATTAATTGATGGAAGAAGTTTTTTTTTTCCTCTTGTTTGGCAGTTTGATAAGATATATGGAGAGCATTTCAAGGAATAATTTTTTCATTGGACAGTTTGGACTTACTGAAAACTGTTGTCATGATATTGAACCGAATGGCCAGCCCTGTGCTCGGAAAATGGCTTACAGAAAATTATAAGAAATGTTATTTTCCCACAACTACTACCTACCTTACCTTCCGGGAAGACGTTTGTTTTCCACAACCATTTTATGTGCAACCAAACACCAGAAAATAGCATATTTTATGAACATTATTCTTTTTTTCCTTCACAACCAAACAGAACCTAAGAGTCTCAAATTTTGAAAACCAATTACAATGAAAAAGATGCTAATGTGAATATAATTTACAATGGTTTCCATCCTCGTATGGAAACAGAACAGATCCATTTTACATACAAATGATACAACTGGCCTTCAGATCTTTTCTATTTTTTGACATCTAACAACAAAAAACATATCCAGAATGCCAACAAGAATAAATAAATGAAAGCTGTTTATGTTTTCCTTTCTCTGTTAAAACTTAAAACACATTATGGGCCATCACTTTGTGATTTCTTGAGCACCATCTGGCCAGTGTCGTCCTTCTCAAAAAGACGCCCAACCAATTCATCCCAGCTTTCCCTCGCCCTGATTTTTGTAGATGAACCCAATACAGAAGCTTCTCTGCTTGTCCCACTGGATTCATCCTGCTCCTCAAATGTTCCATAAGGAGAAGGAGAGTATGCATGGGGGACAGCCAACGTAACTGCTTTCTGCAGTGCAGCCTTGTACTCCTCTGTATGTTCCTTTGCAAGAGTCTCCTGCCGCTCCATTTTCTGCTTTGGTGGAATCCCCATAACTTGATCTTTCTCTAGCATTAACTAAGATACGGAGAAAGAATGCTTCAATCTCGACCAGAATTATAAAAAGAGAAGGAACAGTTCAGAAATATAAAAAGATAAACCAATTCTAATTTCAATCAATGGCCTCATCAGGTTCCTTCTCAATACTGTTAAAAGATATGCAATGTGACTGAGAGAAAAACAGGTGATTTCATTATAGGAAGGAGAACCACTAAAATCCGCTCAAAAAAACTTCTAACTAAATGAAAGTTGAGAATGAGTGAAGGTTCTGGAACTAGTGGATCACTTTGTTAGCCACCACAGGCCCAATGCAATTTGGGAGGGATTGGGTTGAACGTTGGTTAAATTCTGAAAGGACCTGACCCAAGAGACCAGGCCCAATGCAGTTTAGATTCTTCAATTGGGTATCCAACTTTCACCCCTAACAGTAGGAAGTTGGCACTTTACAACATACTTCTATTGAAAAAACTGAACTCTCTGACTTGAATCTAAGCTCCATACAAGAAAAAATCCGGAGGTGAAAACTTAGACCAACATGGACAAGATTTAAAATTTAGAGGGAGCTTGAATGCCAGAAACAAAAAGTTGAAATCTTACATTCAGTGCCCTCTGAGCTTCTCTTTCTATCCAAATGATTGTATGGTCTGATGTGGCAGTGCAAGAGAGGACTATGCGCTCAAATCTCCCATCCACTGGCACTGCTGTCCTCACAACTGGAGGAAATCTTCCCAACCTGCAACCAGAATACATACAAGAAGCAACTATCATGGTTGAAGCTTAATTTTCTCTACATCAAGATTTGACTCCACATAAGAGATCTAAATTTGGAGTTTTCGCAACTGATGAGATCCTATATGAAGGGCATGCCAATAAAATCGAGGAAATGTAGCATGGCCCACATTAATATGAATGGTTGGATCTCTCTACTCTCAGTTTAGGAATCCAGAAGGGTCAGTCTAGACTGTCCTATCCACACCCTGTAGTACACATGGCTCACCCATGCAAGGACCTGAATTACTTGCTCTCACAAATAAATAAACATGGATGTGCACATGCCAACATACCCACATTAAAAAGATTGGGAAAAAAGAGAACAGCAAGAAGGAAATTAAAATCTATACAATACAAGGATAGGTCTTTATATTGCTAACAAGAACAAGGGAAAAAATCAAGAATAATCAGTCAATGCTTCAGATCATTATGATAACCTGCTTGGGGCCATTTTTATTGGCCATTGTGACACCCATCCATTGAATGCTTGGATCCATGAGTTGATTGATCATGGAATTTTTCGTGGTAAAGGCACCATGAACCTTGACAACACTAGTTGTCATAATATATTTTTCTAAGATAAAAAAAAAATGTTAACTGGTTAAAGCTCAAAAAGCAGATCTCTGTCAATTTATACAATTACTTTTAATGTAGCTGACTAACCTGCAGAGCTTCCTCTCAACAATGTGATAAAGGCGACCAGGTGCATAAAGACGCCTTGGATCTTTAAGCATCTTTTCCTCTGGTATGCATGTATCTCCCATGCATCTTAGGCATAGCAAGCATGGTAAACTGTTTAGAAGGAAAATTAGACCTAACATAGTAATGGGAAAATCCAACAAATTTTCAGAAATTAGAGCTGACATTAGGGGAGCAATTTTTTCAACAAGCACACTATGGGCCTTAAATGGGGAATCATTCATTAATAGGACCAAAACTGATCCACCTCAATCTGAGTTAGCAATCTCAACTCAACTAAGCCTTGTCCCAACTATATGGCATAGCATAGATTAGGATGCTAATATTGGTAGTGGCAAAATTAGAAAGGATAGAATCAGAAATGAGAACATGCATTAGAAATCTCTAAGTACCATAATAGGTGATAAAATCACATAAACTAGAGTAAGATGGTTTGGTGCTGGAATGGAAAATATATAATCTACTATATCAGTACAGAGTAATTTGATCTAACCATGGTAGAAGGTTATATAATTTCCTTAAAATTGAGGAATTCCCTCGCATTTGAGCTCGACATCAAAAATAAATATTTAGAAATTACCAACTGAAGAAAGTACACATTTGGGAAAGGTGATAAAGACAACTTCCTCCCCATTACCAGAAAAGTGACTTGAAAATATCCTCCAAGGGTGTGGCTGTTCGAGGTAGGAAATCATCCTGGTTCATTATAGAAAATAATTGTTAGAACTTAAGCACATATAATAACCAGTATGAAGGAACAGATAAAACAACAGGAATATGCATAACACAAACTGGGGAAATAAAATCGGCACATTACAATCTCATCAAATTTACAGCCATTTTATTCTGAGATCGTGCATAGTGGAAATCAAATTAACAGAGTGGTTTGCTCTGCTTCTGTAGTATATTTCTTGGGGATAGGAATCCAGACAAGAAGAACAACTCCCAAGTCCAAGGCCATTTCACACCATCAACAAAAATGATGATCCATCTTTTCTAACACTTAAACTGAGGTTCAAACTTCATTTCTCCATTCAGACTGTGTATGGCCACAAGATTTCTTAAAGATATGGGATGACTGTATAAGAACATGCCATTCTTTTTTTTTTTTTTTTTGACAAAATATATCCTGAGAATCCATTGATCATAACAAACCCATACATACAAGTCTAAACAGAACAAGACCAAAGCCAGAAGCAATAAGCACTACTAAAAAAGCAACAAAGTTATCTCCTCTATATAGAGAATACTCACAAATTATTAAACTTTGATAGTATGAGCATATGACCTTGGAATTATGTAAGAGCATTTATCTATTCAACCGAGAGATCAAAAATCTGTTTTCACATGTACAATCTCTATTGACATTGAAGGGATTGAACACATGCAAGAGAGAAGAATGTGACTGATTAGGAAGGAAGATAAAATTTTCTTTCATTACAATATCCATCTTTTTTTTTAATTAAACAGCAATATCGCATGCTGGAGGGGGTTGGGGAACCTGAGATTTTCAAATAGAAACCATTAGCATTCTTAATCCCTTGTTGATAGGGGTGTCAATGGAATAGTTTTGAATTGGACCCTGTCCAAACCAAAATCAATTTGGACAGATTGGATGGACCAATAAGACATATTGAATTGGACCAGTCCAGACTTAATGGTCCAAAGTATTTATTGGATTGGATTGGACCTGTTCCATCCATAATGAATTTATATTGGATTGGGTTGGATTAAGACAATATCTGGTCCATTGATAGAAGATAAGAATATAGGTGTCAATGGTTTACCAAAAACAAAAAATATAGGTGTCAACGAACCAGATTTAGGTTAAAACCAATCTAAATTAAAACAAATTTGAACAGATTGGACGGTCCAGATATTGAATTGGACTGGCCCAAAACATTCATTGGATTGGATTGGACCTGGTCCATTTGTATTGGACTCATATTGGATTGGATCAGATTGGACCAAATCCAGTCCAATTGACACCCCTACTTGTTGACATGTTTTTGGCCCTATAGCAGTAGACCTAGAAATTCTATCTCATTCATCTGTTTGAGGGACAAGATTGCCCATAATGGGTGTCCTTCGCCAGTAGTGAACCCCCACAACCAGGAGATCCAGCTCTACCCAAACTAGAGTAGGTCAAATATACGAGTTTCACAGTGAGGTGAGTAGATGCCTTACAAATGAATTTACAGTGTAAAAATGCTATGTGAATGCCTGATAATGGAAATAAGTTCGTAACTTTGAATTACTATATTTGAGTTTCATGGAATAAATAATGGTAATCACCACAAAATGAAAACCCCAATAATTGTTTGTTGGGAAAGAACTATAAAACGATATAATGAAAGTATTTTATCATTTTTCTCGTTTTTAGTATCTCTCAATATGGATAAAATGCCTTTCATATTTGAATATTTGAAGAGATGCAAGCCTGTATATCTGGGGGCTTCAAATCCTACTAGGCAAGGATCTTCTGCCATGAGGAGGTTTTGATATCTCATATTCCTACCATCCATCTGACAGAGAATCATCTAGAATAGTAAGTCCTGTATGTTTTTGCTTACTCATAGGAGCCCTGTCTCCAAGACTCCAACACAAGTTGCACCTTTTTCCTATGAATAGCATCCCTCAAATTTCTTAAGTTTCTATTGAATTCCTTCAAATATATGATGATGAATCGATTTTTATTCTATACGGAAAAGAGCTAGCTGACCAACCAATGCAACCCATACATATACATGTATCCTCCTCAAATGGTTTTTCTTCCACTTGACCTCATTGAAATCACCATACTCCAATGTATGGATACCCGGTCTGTCATGTTCCTGTACTCTTTGGGGAGATGTATCTCTTTTGCAGAAAAATGTCTGCCCATGCAAAGTTAGATTGTTGTACAGCAATCTCCATGCATACAAGAAAAAAATGCCATTCAAAAGCCTCAACAAGTCTTCTCTACCCAAAGGTACAAAACCTTCATGTTCTAATGATCAGATAGTTTCATATTCATTTCTCTACTGAACTTTTAACTTCCCTATTCAAGCACACCAAAGATCCTAGACTTCCTTCTGGCAAGCTAATTAATTGGAAAATTTAAGTTTCATTTAGATAAACAGTTGTCAAGGCATCTAGGCAATTCTGGGCAACACTTAGGCGCCTAATCGCTTAGGCGATAAGAATTTTATAATATGTAACTTTTGGCTAGTTCCCCAGTTTTATATACCATTCGGCATGCATATTAATTGAAAATTAGAAATTCTCTTTATTAGTGTTATAATTCAGGTCTGCCTTAGAGTTCGGCCTGACTGAGTTCAGTTATGTAGAAGAAGAAAAAGTGATAAAGAAAGAGAGAAAGGGAGAAAAAGAGAAGAGAGAATTCTGGTTCGAACTGAAAGAGTCAACTTGACTTCTCCCAGTCGGCCAGTAAGTATTTATATTATTATTAAAACATAACTGAAAAGACCTACGTGCCCTTACTTAAGTTAAGAGCACATGTTTCAACACAACATTACAAATCAGCAACATCAATCAAGGTATAAAGAGAAATACCCCTACGCTAACAATTAGAAACATTAAATTTTCTATAAAAATGTGGCAAATCATCATATCTAAAAGACAAAATCTTTTAAATATCTTAATTTCATTATTTCAAAAATAATGATACTATAATAAGTATTTAATAGAGCAATTTCATATCAATTAGCAACTAAAGAAGGTTAACTTTATATGATAAAAAATCAAGATGGAAAATAACATAGAAAAAAAAGGACACAGTTGCTACTTTATTTAATTGAAGAGATAGAGAGGGGGGAGAATAGAGGGAAAACAACTCTATCACTTCTATTATTCCTTTATTTTTTCTTTCTTCTCTCCTCAAAACCTTTGATCTTTTAAATTTCAATAGTAAAACATCAAAACAAAATATAAATGATATATAGTATATAACAAAAGGTATTCACACTTATTTATAAGATGCATGAATATAAATGAAATTTTAATAAGGTGCCCGCCTTGTCATTTTTGCCGCCTAGGCGGGTGCCTAATTGCCATAAGTCAAGGCGTCTGGGTGAGGCAACCAGCCAAGGGCGCCTAGTCACCTAGGCAACGCCTTGGCAATCATATAATAAACTTTATGTGGCAACTTTGTTGCGTTTAGGAAAAGAAACGCTACCTAGGTTTAGTAAACAATGGCAATTGCTTAGTACAATGGTAAAATCTTGGGCGACAAGCTTGGGAACAGAGTTTTATCTAAGAACAGCTACTTTGTGTAAAAAAAATGCCTATTGTTAGGTCCATAACCAGTTCACTTCTCTCAAGACCACCTGGATAGCTGGAACCAACATTGGGTAATGACCCCCTTTATATAGGTTTGGTAAACAAAAATTGATTCAATGATTTTTTGAACCAATGCAATAAAAAATGCCAGAACACAGAAGCCAAAAAGAAAAGGCTATAAGTTGTTGTGAGGAAGTGCTTCTGCTCTTGTGCTTAGGGATGTAACTTGGGTTGGGGTGGGTTGTGAATTTGTTAAATTTTCAATGGGCCCAAACCCTAACCCAAGCCCGATATATTTGAAATTCTTCAAGTGTGTCAACCTGACTTGCAAACCTACTTGTGGTTCAGGAAACACAAAGGCTGCAGCATGAAATATTTTTCAGGAGACTCATGCCCATGATCCTCTATTTATTTCTAAAAGACAGATGATGTCAAGGTTGACATCTTATCATCTTCTAGCGAAATGACCATAGCTAGAATTCTCACTCTAGCAGTAGTAGGCTTCCAGCATAAAGGATGCAACAACCTTATCTAGAAATCTCACTCTAGCAATGGACTCCCTGCATGATGGATGCAACAAACAAGTTTCTTCAACTGATGAATGGCATTCAGCAAGAAGTTTTTGTATGTTTCTCCAAACAATTCTTCTTTCATGGAAAAGCAACAACAAAGAAAAGACAAAAAGGGCTCAAAGCTAGTGATTATGAAAAGGATCTACGTTCGTACTAATTCTATTATTGATGCTTCCTCATCCAACATTGATAAGTTTCTTCAATTGACCAATGACATTCAGCAAGAAGTTTTTGTAGGTTTCTCTAAATGTTTCTTCTTTTATGCAAAAGTAACAGCCCAGAAAGGGTTCAAAGCTAGTGATATATGAAAAGGATCCATGTTTGTAACTGTACTAGTTCTATTATTGCATGCATCTTCATCCAAGACGGATTAGTTTCTTCAACTGATGGATAACATTCAGCAAGAAGTTTTTGTAAGTTTCTCTAAACAATTCTTCTTTCATGGAAAAGCAACAACCAAGAAAGGGCTCAAAGCTAGCATCACAATTCATAAATGAAAAGGATTCATGTTTGTACTAGTTACTATTATTGCATGCCTTCTCATCCAACATTGATAGCTCCAAATTGAAACTTATATGTTTCCCCATAGAAAACATAATCATCAGCCTGGGCCATAGTCCAGATGTATGTATAGGGAGTGAGTATGCTAGTTGGTTTGTTTATTGAAGAAGGCTCAATGGCATGAAATCTTCCATGTAGAGAATTGGTTGGCCCGCATATCAATGGGTCAAACTTGAACCTAAAAACCATTGCCATGTTTTCACAGTAAAGCTGTCAAACAAATTAAATCTAGAAATGTTAAAACTTTAAACAGATGGTAATTTGTGTGAAACGCTAATAAAAACTGGGGTACAGGGCTGATGTGGACAGGAAGATCGGATGAGTGCCCAATCCATAGAGACCCTACTTGATGGATGGGTTGGATAAGCCACATCATGCTTCCACATGGCAGAAATATGACATATTGTGTAGGGAACCTGCTACTTAACCCGAGTAGGATCCTTTTTCCACTGTCTGTGTCTAATTCTGTGTGTAACTGTGGCTTTATTATTTAAACATGTCTTCTAGATCAAATTCCACAAATGATCAGAAAAATGCATAGATATATTTACACGGAAACGTCAAAAAATCCACAGACATGAGACATGACTACTTTTTCCTAAAAAAGTTGTGTTATTTTATCTTTTTCCTTTTCCTTTTTGGGTCCAAATATCTCCCAACTTTCATTACAAAGCGACAAAGCATAGCCAACAAGAAGAAGACCATAAACTTGCCTGGAGCACAACAGAGTTGATGATATCTGCATATCTCACAGCCAAATTCAGTGACACACACCTTGCAGGAGCAATTGCATAGCATCTGATCCTCCTCCTGTCTATGTCCCCCAATCTGTCCCGATTCTGCGCCACCACCATTACTAACAACGCAGCCACCCCTGACCCAAAAGAATGTCCAGCGAACGTCAATTTATAGTTGGAATACTTCTCGACCAATTCTCTCAGAAGCTCACACTCTGCATCAAGAACAAACCCAGCTGCCTTCAAGAGTCCATTATGGACATAGCCACCATCAAATTTCCTCTGTCCAAGCTTGTTGTCGAGCAGAACTGCATAATCGCTCTCCTTCGCCAAATTAAGGCCCCTGAAGGATAAGACAATATCCGCGTGATCATGATCAAGGTAGATAGCATAAGGTGGGGCACGGCCATTGGTGTCTTTGTAAGTCCTCCGCACGATTACCCAGTCAGGGTTGATGCCATACCCACCAGGGGGAGCCCAGAGCGGATGCCGGAGGTCCTCTTCATAGACGGCGAGAATTAGGCGGCAGAGGCGTGGGACAGGTTCAAATTCCTCGGCGGTGGCAAGGCCCCAATTCTCACTGTCATGGCCCGCGGTGTAGAGGCATCGCTTCCACGCCCAACGAGCACAGGCAAGGCAGTAGACGCATTCAAGGATTGGGAGACCGCAAAGGATCGACATGGATGTCTAAGAACCCATCATTTCAACAGATATTACGGAGCGAGGCTCGATGTAATCGTGCAAGAATTGAAGGGTTTAGGAAACTAAGTATTTTATCTTCCCTCCTCCATACCTTCTTAGAAGATGAAAATCATCATCCTTCACGGATGGATAAAGAATTCAGTTGCCAGTTGGCTACTAAAAGAGATGAGCTGATGAGCTCCAGAACCAGTACGTGTTTTTCTCTTTCTTTTTTCCAATTTTTTTTGGTAATCGAGGCCACAACGCTTAGCAAATTAACAGAATGCGCAGTCGAGATTACTCACCAGAACAGAGGATGGGATCTATAGTTCGTGAACTTCTAGTGTCGTAGTATACAAAACAATAACGTCAGGTGGTCTCTGACGAAGAACAACAAAATGAGTATCTCCAGACTCCAGTAGCTGAAGAAAGGATTATAGGCACTGCAAATAGATCTTAAGACTAGAAATGGTGGGATTTCGAAAATCAAATTGAATTGTTTTATATCTGTAGAAGGGACAAGGGTTGAACAGCTAACTAAGATAGGCAAATACAAATACAGGCACAAAGATGATCAACGAGGAATGGGAGAAGAGACTGCGAAAAGAAATGAAATACAGTCGCAGATGATCAGCGAGACATGGTCTTGAGTACTGGAACAAGAATTGATTGCATTAAGACCAGGGTTTTCTGAGCATGAAATGATGAAAACACTCAAACAGTACAGACTCGGGAGAAGACAAGACAGTATCGATCGACTAGCGCGAAGCTACAATTTGCGGGTTTTCTTTAGTGAGCTTTGATGATAAATTGAGGAAAAACAGTTGAAACAGGAAGACGGATTAAGAATAGAGGGAGAAGAAACCAGAAGACTTATTAAGAAAAGAAAACCAGTAGGAGACGAAGGCGATCCGCCAGTCAAAGGGCTCAAATCAAAACTACGCGACCCGTTGCCCTGGTAGCTGGCGTCCCGCGCCATCGCCGCGCTACTACTCTTAGATTCTAGTAAACCTGCAAGATTATAAATATCAGGGAAAATTCTCTATTACTATCCTTTGGGCCTACCTATCTATCGTTAATCAATTTAGTTTAGGATCTATCGTTAAGAAGTCGTTAAGTTAAAGTTACTTTTGAAAGTACACAAATGCTCTTTGTATATATCTAATTTTTATCAACCATTCAAATGTATAAAAAAAATGAGCAATCCCAAATTATTGCCTCTTTTATTAAAGAACGTTGAGATTATTAAAATGATTATTAAGAGGTGATCTCAACTTTCTTGAATAAAAGAAAAAAGGATTTGAGATTATTCATTTTTTGTCAACATTTGGATGTTTAATAAAAAAATTAGATGACATTCGAAGGGCATTTATGTCCTTTTAAATGTCATTTAATGACTAGTTATTGATATATACTAAATTGGCATGTTTTAAAAGCTAAAGTATGAATTATTATGTTTTAAAGATTGAGGACCAAAGTAGCATTAGGCCCAAAGTACAAGGTACTAATCAGGAATTAGATGACACTTGGAAGCCATTTAGGAAATTGGCAGTTCATTCCGTAAGTTGCATGAACTTCTACGGGTATTCTAGTCTTTTGATCCTATTCATTGGTCAAACTGTCAAAGTAGTGGAATACCCGTTTTTATTTTACGTTTTAAAATAGAACAGGAATTCTTGGAAAGAAGAATTTGAGAAATTTGTTGTCAAATTTGGGTTTAAGGGAAAATTCATTATCAGTACCTTGTACTTTGGCTTGAGTGACAATTTGGTCCCCGAACTTTAAAATGCAACAATCCAGTACCCAAACTTTCAAGATGTGACAATCTAGTACCCAACTTTAAAAATGTGATAATCTAGTACCTGTCGTTAATCAGTCCGTTAATCAGCCATTAAGTGACATTTGAAAAGTTAAAAATGTCATTCCAATGCCATCTAATTGCCATTATCAACTATCCAAACATTGACAAAAAAACTGAATGGTCTCAAATCCTAGCATCTTCTATTCAAAAAAGTTGGTGATTGTTTAGAAGAATCTAGAATTTGGGACTGTTCATTTTGTTGTCAATGTTTGGATGGTTGATAAAGAGAATTAATTGACATTCTTAGGGCATTTTTTACTTTTCAAATGTCACTTAACGCTGATTAACGGACTGGTTAACGATAGATATGGGATTATCACATTTTGAAAGGTCAAGTACTAGATTGTCACATTTTAAAAGTTTGTCAGTTTTGGTTAGGTTAGAAAATAGTGGTCAATGTGATCAAAAAAAAAATCTCAACTTTCAAATAAGATTACCCTTTAATAAAAAAAGGAAAAAAAATGACGGATAATAACTTATATTTGGTTCTTATCCAAGGTTGGAGAGGGTGTGGTTCATCTCGGAACACGCTACACTAGTGTGGTGTGTTGTATAACCATGGTTCTATATATATATATATATATACAAAATTGGACAGTCATGTCTCTCCTTTGAGATAAACTATTTATATATTTTCTCCATTTTTTGCATTTTTTCCTAGTTTCTTTTGTTTTAAAAATATAAAAAAGTAATCATTGTTTATCTTGATTAGATTAATAAAGTTGTACACTATTAGAGAGAGACCTTTGGATTTTCCAAAAACCTCTTATTTCAATGTATGTTATTATTACATTTAAAAAAGACATTTAAGAGAGAGAGAGGGGGAGTAATAATAATAATTATTGTATTTTAAAATTTATAGTATTAATAATAATTACAAGATTTTTAATAATTAACAACATTCTTATTAATTAACATTATTAACTATATTTATTAAAAATAATGTATTTATTAATTAACAATATTTTAAAATAATTACCAGTATTTATTCAAAAACAATATTAAATAATGCATTTATTAATTAATATAATGAAAGTTATAATTTATTAAAAACAATTTAACAATTATAGTATTTATTAATTAACAGTAATTAAATAGTTAAAGTATTTTATTAATTAACAGTATTAACTACACTTTTAATTAATATAGTATTTTTTAATAATTACAGTATTATTAATTAATCAGAAGTATTTATTAATTAACAATATTTTTAAATAATATAGTACTTTTAATAATTATAGTGTTTTAATTATTAACATTATTTATTAAAAATAATGTATCTTTATTAATAGTATTTTTAATAAACATAGCATTAATAATTAACCATATTTCACAATATTTTCAATAATTACAGTATTATTAATTATAGTATTTATTAATTAAGAGTTTTTATCAAAATACTATATTTTACAATGTTAATATTATTTGTTAACATTATTTATTAACTATATTTTATACTATTATTATTTTAAAATTATTAATTAATGTAAGTTATAATTTAAATTATCTTTGAAATTTTAAGTAATATACTTACATTTTTAAATAGTAATTGAAAGTAATTATATTTAAATATAATTTAAGCTATAAATAGTATAAAATTACATTTAATGAACAGAAATTATCAAAGAAAATAACCAAAAATGGATTAACATGATTTCCAATAAATATGATAAATTACTAAAATTAAAAAATATAACCATTAAAAATACTTTTTGAGAGAAGCTATTTATCTATTTTCTTAATTTTTGCATTTTCCTCTTTTCTTTTGTTTTAAAATAAAAAAAAGAGTAATCATTGCTAATCTTGATTAGATTAATAAAACTGCACACTATTAGAGCAAGAGACCTTTGGGTTTTCCAATGCCACTTATTTTAATGCATGTTATTAATACATTTCAAAAATGTATTTAAGATAAAGAGAGAGGGAGGGAGTAGTAATAATAATTATTGTATTTTAAAATTTATAGTATTAATAATAATTACAATATTTATAATAATTAACAACATTTGTATTAATTAACTATATTAATTAACAATATTTTAATAATTATAGTATTTTTTAAATTATTATCATTATTTATTCAAAAATAGTATTAAATAATGTATTTATTAATTAATATAATGTGAATTATAATTTATTAGAAAACAATATTAACAATTACAGTGTTTATTAATTAACAGTAATTTAGTAATTACAGTAATTTAGTAATTACAGTATTTTATTCATTAACAATATTAACTGTACTTTTAATTAAAACAGTATTTTTAATAATTATAGTGTTATTAATTAATTAAAAGTATTTATTGAAATACTGAACTTATTAATTAATAGTATTTTTAATTAATATAGTACTTTTAATAATTATAGTATTTTCAATAATTGTAGTATTATTAATTACAATATTTATTAATTAACAATGTTTATTGAAATATTGTATTTATTAAAATATTAATATTTTTATTAATTCCTTAATTAGCAGTTTTTTAAATTGTTAATTAATGTAAGTTATAATTTAAATTGTGTTTTAAATATTATTTGAAACTATAAGTAATATAATTAAATTTTAAACTATAATTAAAAGTAGTTATATTTAAATTATTTATTTAAATATAATTTAAGCTATAAATAGCAGAAAATTACATTTAATGAACAGAAATTAGCCAAGAAAAATAACCAAAAGTGAAGTACCAATAATTTTGTCATAATTACCAACAATGGATTATCATGATTTCTAGTAAATATGACAAATTACCAAAAATTAAAAAATATAACCATTAAAGTTACTTTTTGAAATTATGTACTAATTATCAATAATATTCAAGAAGTAAATGTATTTAGTTCATAGTTTATTTAAAATACATTTGTTTTTTTGTATAAATTATAAATTATATAATTTAAACATTATAATCCTTGTCTATGGTGTTATTAGTTCATAGTGTTACAATGGAAAATAGAAAAAATGTGTTTACTATTATGTATTTCCATTATTTCACTTTCACTCAACAAAATCTGTACATCGCACGGGTCACCACTAGTTATATGTTATAATGTGGTGGGTTCTATGATGAGATATAACAAATGATATGTCCTGCATTGTGATGTATTTTTAATAGAATATATTAATGTGTGACATGTGTATTTTCAATATATATGTTATACACTAGTCATATTTTTACAATTAATCAAAATAAATTTTGAAAATTTTGTTCAAAAAAGTTAAAATTAATTTATACAAAATAAAGTATCATAAAATAATTAAACATAATAGAAATAAAATGCAATAAAATAAATATTAAAAATATTAAAGGTAATAAAAATAATTTAAGTAAATCTAATAAAAGTCAATTGAACATAATGTAAGATGATTTAATAACTAATTGAACATAATAAAAATAAAGGACTACGGCTAAAAGAATCAACATATCTACAAAAATAGAGGGGGGGGGGGGGGGGGGGAACAATGGACCAATGGTCAACTAGCTGAAACTTGGAATAGGGAGTTGAGAAGCATGGAATCATATGTAACATTGAGCATGGGCGTGGTTCCAGAACCAGCCGTAGCTTGTTTTGGAACATGCCACAGCTTAAACAAACATAATTTCGTGTGTTCCATTATAGGGGATGTTTGAAAGCATGGCCGTTTTTCTAAAAAATGGTGCCATGTCAAATCCATGTAGGCGATTCAACAAACACCTACATACATGATTGTTCGGTTCAAGCGTTTTTTTCTTTTTTTTTTTTGAAAAAAACGCTGAAAATAGGCATGCCTTGTAAATTGGGACCCAACCGTTGCACGAAACATCAAATTTGGCGTTTCATGCTTCAGTGAACCGTTGCCTCCAACGATTGACTGATATGATGAATACATGGCAGAAACACTCCCAAACATATCAAGGCGTTTTTTTTTTTTTTTGTGAAAAACGGGTCTAGCAAGCATGGGCTTCTTTGTTTTTTTGAAAATCGGTCCTAAAAAATGCCCACGCTTCCAAACTCCATCTAGAATGGACCAGAATGAGCATCTATCTTGTTACCAAATGTCACCTTAAGGGCCTTCAATTTCGAGTGTGAAAAATCAGGATCTATTTGGTTCACCATAATAGGGGTTTGAAGTCGATTTCAATTCCAACCATCTAAGTGGGTGGGTTGGAATCCAATTCCCATTCCCAATGAAATGACATTCTCCCATTTCAGGGAATGGTCACCCCCTCCCTCCCTTGGGGATGAGAATCTTATTCCATCTCATTCCAATATTCATTTGAACCAAACAAGTAGGGGAATATAGACAATTCAAATTCTGATTCTAACTGTAACTAGGAATTAAATGTACTCTCATACTCAAGCCTAGTCAATATTTGCAACATGTGATGTCATTATGCCTTGAAACACTTTCATTATTTCAAAGTCCCAATGTTATCCATATTGTATCACATCATTTCACAAGGGACTCTTTCATGTTTCAAGTTCTATCAAAGTGACATTGCATGGCCATTCCGTGTTTGATTTTTGAAAGTTGAAAATATCTGGTTGCTGCACTTGAAAGTTGAACCCCTTAAATGTCACTATCTCCAAAGTACATGATCTGCTTCTCATGAAGCGCTCTTCACACCAACACACATCATATTCCAACCACACATCAGGAACATTTCTTGTCCTATATTATTATTCGTAAGAGATATTCCCAATACATGGTGGGATGTGGTTGTGAGGTCGGTGTGAGGAATGCTATGTGAGCGTTTGTACTTGATTTGTCTTCAAACCGAGAAAAATAATTTATAAACCACATCAGCAGAACAATGAATAAACGCTCAACACCCATTTTTGTGAATATCAATGCATACAGATGGATATAATGAGAAAAATGCTGATTTAGCGATGATATGGCGACATTTTGATAAACGCTTGTCACAAAATGTTCATCAAACAAAACACACGCCTACTGGAATGTAGAATCACCTAACATAAAAATGACTCTAGAAGGTGTGAAACATTTAAATAATTTAAAAAGAGTCGTGAATCTTCCAACATATGGTATATGACAAATTCTTTCTTGTATTTTAACCCCCCCCCCCCATTTCTCTATCCTGTCTCTTTTCATTTGATTTTCTTTTTTTTTTATTTTTATTTTTGTGCATGATAGTTTTAACATTTAGTGGATATAGTCCCCACTGATTTGAACCCCAACACCATTTGCTTTGCTCCTGTATAGTTGTATTTTCTTGTTTCATCCGAAGAGACAGATCATACTCTTAAGAGTTTTTTTTTTGCTAGGACACGTCAATACATAAAAAGGTAGTTATTTTAACATTGCGGTAGGCTGTCAATGGGTTGGGTATTGGTTGGATCCAGGTAGTAATTTCAGACACATAATTGAACTGATTAGTCCTTAATAACAACCCTACTGAAAATATTATAATGCATTTACATACATGCGTGCGTACATACATACATACATACATACATACATACATACATACATACATACATACATACATACATACATACATGCATACATACATGTATACATACAAATATATCTAGCAGGTTCAATCTGACCCATTGATAGCCCTACACTATGCCATGTCATTATCGTGGTTTGTTTTCTTCTTGCATGCTTTCATGAGATGACACATCACTTTAGAATGCTCTCTCTCTCTCTCTCTCTTTATATATATATATATAGACCTCCTGCCAACAAGAACTCTAACCCACAAACACTACCTTTGTGCGTTGGGAACACCTCCCATGCATAATAACATGTAAGAGGATGAGATGTTCCTTATATGTGGCTGTGATGTTATGTGGGTAGAGTTGTCGCGAGTAGGAAATCTGGATTCATATTAAAAAAATGAAGTCTAGGAATTTCTCCTTTTTTGTTTTTTATTCCATATCATTTTTGAAACAACCAATGATAGGCTTTCTTTCTCCATAAAAATTTACCTAAAAACTCTATCTCTCCAACACACAGAGAGATTCCCAATAACCTAAATAATCTCCTCTCCTAAAATTTATCCTAAAACATCTCCTAATCTATTTCACAAGAAACCTTATATACATGTCTCTCTATCTATTCCCATCTCTCTCTCTCTTTACTATCTAAATACATGCATTTAATTTTTTATCAATGTATTAAAATATTAATATTTAAGTCAAAACTTAAAAAAAAAACAGTTTAACCTAAAATGTAAACATTGAAATAAGATGAGTAAACAAATGTCTAAAATACTAATAAGAGAAAATAAATAAGACAATAAGACAAATAATAAAACTAAAGTAATAAATTTTAATAATTAATTAAAATACTATTATAATTATAAATAATAATTTCATGTTGTTATTATAAAATTTAATAATTAATTATAACAATTTTACAGTTATAAAGGGATAAAATTTAATTTCAATTTTAAAATGATTAACATAATAGAAAATCAAAATAAATTACTGTTTTTAATTTTAACAATAATTGTTAAAATTAATTATAATAAAATTATACTTAATTTATAATAAAAAACTCTAACATTATTAAAGATTGTAATCAATAATAGACTTAGCATAATATCATAACCTAAATTATGTATCAATAACAACTTATTAAAAAATTAAGATTTAATAAAAGTAGAGATTATTAATTTAAATCTAATTTTAAAATAATGAAAAATAAGAAAAACAGATCCAATTTAGTACAAGTTTACTTAAGGTTATGATAGTGATCATAACCATTTGGATAGAATTTGTTGAAAAAATGCATAAATTTCCAATAAAATATAGAATTTGCTAAATATCATAGATATTTTGAAGAAAATACACATACTTGCAATAAAATATACGACAATACACAAAATTTTCAACAAATATGCATAACATGCATTTATATATTAATGAATTTTAAATATATTATTTAAGTGATTTTTTTTTTTGTTTTTTTGTCTATCTTAAGCTTTTCTGCCATCATCAACAAGCAAGTCATTGATTTTTTTTTTTTGAAACTGTACATTTTATCACGAAAGATATGTTTTTTTGGACTTCGGTGTTATAAAATTATTTGATGGTAAGTTTTATTTTTGTTTTATATGATGTTCATTTGTATTGATTCTGAATGCCAAATATTGATGTTTATATATGTTTGCACCATGTGAAAAAATACACATTAAAGATGAGAGGAAGGATAAGTTGATAGCTAAGACTCAAAAGGTCCAAAGCATGATGGTGGTGGAGGGAAGAGATGGGATCTTTGTCATACAAAATCTTCTTTTTCTTTATTGTAGTTATATATAGAATAATAGAAGTATTGGACTCAATATCCTTTTTTATTTTGGTTGGTATTTTCTTCAATTATACAAAAAATGTGAATGAAACTTTGAAGACTAATTTTTTATTAAACAAAGAAAATTTACTTAATAACTTAATTAACTTAAATCTAATAACTTAATTTATTATACAATACTCAATCATCCATATGGTATATGGGTGTGAGTTTCTTTCCTTTTTTTTTTTCTTCACGAGGTTACACAATGGGGTGTGAGTTAAACCATATCCTTTGTAGGCACCAAATAATTTTATTATAATTAGTAATATACAAATTCATTAATAAAATTCAAAATTAAGTAACAAAACTTTAGCACATATCACATTAACAAAATTCACTTAATAATATCATAAAATTCTAAATAAATATAATTTGAGTAAAATTAAATTAATCCTAATTATTTCAAATCAATTGATTAAAACTAACTTCATTAATAAAATATAAATTTAATTAATTAATAAATTTAAATATAAATCTTAAAATTTAATAAGTTTTAAAGTATCAATAATTTTTTTTAACTTTATTAATAATTAATAACAACTAACAAAGGTCATATATCCAAAACATAATAAACATAATAATTGAATTAAACTTCAACCAGAACAATTTCTCCTAACAAAAACAATACTTTGATTGCTCTTTTGCTTCAATTTTAATCTCCTCTCTGTCATCGTATTAGATAGCGGCTTTTCCCGTGTATCACATGAGGCCCTACTAGTTTCTATTAACTTTTTTTTTCCCACTTCATAGGGCTACGTAGCCAGCCCTCCGTCCAATTTTTGAAAAAAAAAAAAAACTAAAAACAAAGGAATAAAAGAGTGTGATCAAACACCCGGTTTATTCCATCCGGTTTATTGGAATGGGATACTTTGAATCTTGAACATTCCCTAATCAAGAGCATCTTCTTTCAAAAATTCACATTGACTTCCCATAAAGCGTGTCCCACAAAACATCCCTACCGTGCCTTGAGAACATCTTACCAAGGCCCACTTCATTCATGTTCTTAACCACTTCTGGAGGTGCCCCGACAATGTGGTCCATTTTTCCACAAAAGAATGTAAAGACCAAATCCAGCCCATTTGAAAATTGGGGTGGGCTGGTTGGTTGGGCTGCAGGCCCAGTTCCCTCAGTTGAACACTTGAACTTACCACCGTATATATCTCGCGTATAAAATGAGCACAAACCCAAAACCCTAGTTTATTCGGCGGCCATTGTTCTTCGTTCGAAGGTGAGCGACCATTCCCAATTCTCCGAAAGACTGCGACCCTCTGAAAGGCGAAGAAGAAAAAAAGGAAAAGAAAAGAAAAGAAAAGATATAGAAACATCGAGCATAACTGATTTTCTTTCTTTTCCTTGCAGATTTATTTAACGGATTTCCTGAGCGATCTTCATCGGATCACTCCAGGAGGTAGGATTTTACTACATTTGTATTGATTCCCTCAACCCCTCCCATTTTCGTTGGTTGTGACGAGCTTTTCTTCTGATAAACTCACGATTAAGGCATTTCCGTATAATGTATACAAATATATCTATATTTTTGCCCAATCTTTTTTGAATCTAGGGGCTTTCATTTGTTGTTATTGTTCTTGCAAGCTTAATAGAGTTGTAAGTCAATCTTCTCTGTAAGAATGGTGTTAGTTCTTTAGGGTCCCTGTGCAATTTTTTTCTCCTCTCCCTCATCTGAAATGTCGCTCTTCTTTTTTTTTTTCTCGGATTTGTATTTTTGTACCTGTATTTGTATGCCGTTTTTTCTCCGTTTATCTGGTATCGTTGTATGTTGTTGTTTCCATTGTTTTACTTTATAGGAGCAATGCTTTTACAATGTTCAATTCAAGTTTGTCTGTAATCTATTGCTTGATGTGAGACTTCTGTTGTGATAGGATTCGTATTAACGACTTGCCAGTCCTTTATCCGGTTGTTTATTTACTTGACATCGATTGAACTTAAATATTGATTGAACGTTCAGCATAAACCCGTTTCAGCAATTCTGCCACGACCTGAATGATCAGCCAATGAATATCGTTCTATAAAACCTTTCTATTTAATGAACGAAGCTAGTTGATCTAAAGATAATGAACGAGCATTTAAATATATCATTTCTTCTGCTGTTTGCTTTTGACAACAATTGCAATTTCCCTTGTGCGTTTACTGATATTGCATCACAAATTGGCAGGAGCAGGTGATGGCTCCACAACAGCCAAAGAGTGGCCTCTTTGTGGGGTTGAATAAAGGGCATACTGTAACCAAGAAGGAATTGGCACCACGTCCATCTGACAGAAAAGGAGTATGTTAATATTACAACATATGTTTTTCTTTTGAGCTTTGAAAATAACTATTCTGTTGCCATTTCCATATGAGTTGATTACATCCTATCTCCACAGAGATGCAGCTAGATTCTTGTTTGAGTGGAAAGAAAATGTTTTGAAATGATTCTCTTTTGAAAATTGGGATTGATAAAATTATGAAGACGGAACTTTTTTTTTGTTTATTTTACATTCCCATTGATGTGAATAGTTTTTGGAAATGATAATGCCACTTGCTAGTTGGCAGTTGCTTTGTCAAATTTAAAAATTGTTTACAGTTGTTGCAGCCTGTTTTTTTCAACTTAGGGCACTGATATATTACATGATTCTTCAACTTTTTTTGGTTACTCAGAAAACAAGCAAGAGAGTACACTTCGTCAAGAGCCTTATCAGAGAAGTTGCTGGATTTGCTCCTTATGAAAAGAGAATTACTGAGCTTCTCAAAGTTGGGAAAGACAAGCGTGCATTGAAGGTAGCAAAGAAAAAGCTTGGCACTCACAAAAGGGCAAAGAAGAAGCGTGAGGAAATGTCAAGTGTCCTCCGCAAGATGAGGTAATTATCAATTGTTACATTTCTTTCCTCTCCTACAACTTTTAGTTAAGTCTATATCCAGAGGAGTCATTTATGTGGATATATAATTTCTATTTGTCCTTGGAATAATTGCTACATGGGTTGTTGTCAAAATTCAAAACCATTTTGCCTTTGAATAAAGTTTAGAGCTTTCAAAGACTTATGGGTACTTATCATCATCTGTTTTTTGGGTACTATTCCGTGCAGGTCTGCTGGAGTTGGTGATAAGAAGAAGTAAGCATTGAGTGTATATCAGTTGTGCTAATGACTTGCACAAGTAGGAGTTTCATTTTCACTTTTGGATGGACGCTGAGTAGTTAGAATCGTTTGTTTAGTTTTTTTTGCCATTGTTTTGAATTGGAGATTGAAATTTTGCCATTCTTTTCCTACGGCCCTCATTGAGACTGATTATGGCCTCGAAGAAGATTTTCCATGCGTAATTTGATTCAGATTTTAAAATTATAGTGACAGCAATTATAGGCTCAGGCATGTTAATTCTAATGCTCTACCATGAATGTGGAGTTCACATGCATTGTTGCTGGACCAAATGTGGATTCAAAATGGACCTTATAATCCATCACAAGGTTTCCATGTGATTTTCATATCAGGCTTGTAAATGCAGTGATGAATCCTTGAAATGCAAAGGATTTCTGAGGGCCTGCCTTAATGTGATTTTCCTGAAATCCGATGTTTCACAATTATCGTCTTCAATTTTTAGTTACTCCATATAGAGATTTTAGATGGTTATCTGTTTGTCCTAATCTACATGCAAATTGGATGTGATCCAAATTCCATCCGATCATTACCAAAAAATTTGGATTTATACAATCACCCCATCTTTTTTTGTTTTTTAAATTTAGAGCAGTGTCAGTGGTGCATTCTGAAGAGGATACTTTGGTAGGGTGATTCCGACCTTGTATTTCCTTTCCGCTGGGCGACATGTACCGAGTCTGGATATCCTGCCCATGACAACTCTGCCCATGTTAATCGCAGTCACACATGGAGAATCTTATCGTTTGCATAGTATTATTATGCAGGGGATTTGGAGTCACATGTATTAACCAGTTTGGAGAATATAAATATGTACTGATGTATATAATGCAAAACTGTGCATATTTGTATTTATAATCCTTGTATGATTTTCAGCTTTGCTTTTCTGACTTTCTTCGCCTTCTTTTTTAGGGATTCTCAATATATGGGCTGGATCAAACTAACATTGGTGGTTTGTTTTGGTTTGGCCTTAAAATGATTTGATTTGGTATAACAATTTGGTCTAGTTTTCTATATATATATATATTATTTTTGTTTATTTCAAATTTTAATAATTTGATGATCAAAGGAGGTGTTTATGTTTGAGAGTCGATGCAGTTTATATAATAGTAATTTGTGACAATTATTAACATTTCAATTTCATATTTGAATTAGATTTGTTATTTATGCAGGTATGCATATTATTTGAGGTTCCTAATTGGGTTTCTCAATTTAATGTTCCAAATAAACTGGACCAAACCATAATAGAATGGTTTTGTTTGCTTTGGATTCTATAGTAAAATGGTTCGGTTTGGTTTGGTGTTGCCTGAGATCTCCAAACCAAGTCAAAGTAGACTGAATATGTCTATCTTATTGGTTTGAATAGCTGGTGAGTAGCGGTGGCAATTGGGCGGGTTGGGTTGGGTTGGGTTTGGGTTGAGTTTCAACCCAACCCATCTAACCCACCAACCTATTAATGATCCAGTTATATAAAATTAAATGGGTTGAGTTCAACTTAAACCCGCTTTAACCCAATCCAATCCGCCCAAACCCGTTAATCTTGTATTTATGTATTTAAAAAAAATTAACTCTTGACAAATAAGTTGGGCATAGGAGCATAGCTTGGTAGTAATAGTAGTTACTAACTTGAACTATCTAATTGGATTGTCTTCGAGCTAATCACGTCAAGGGTGGATGAATTGATCAGGCCAGTTTAACTTAGATTCAAACCGGTTAGACCAATTTGAACTATCTGATTGGGTTGTTTTTGAGTTAATTGCATCAAGGGTGGTTGAACTGTTTAGATCTGGATTAGTCTGGTCAGACTAGACCAGATTGGTTCAGTTAATGGCAGATTGACTTGGACCAACCCATATCAGGTTTGTGCATGGGTTTGGGATCAAGCCAACTGGTTTGAAGTGGGTCAAGAGAACTAAATCGGGCTGGTCCGGTTTGGGTCGGGCTGTACAAATACAGATAGAGCCATAGATCCAAACCAAGTAAAGCAAGCGGGTGCCGGGCCATCCTGCCAATACCCATTTCGATTTCGGCTCAACCCAGATCAGCATGTGTTGGGTCGGGTCTGTTTTAGACTAGGCTAACCACCCAAACAAACCAGGTCTATTCATATTTAGACCAAGTTAAGCTAGTTTGGACTTGGGTCAAGTTGATTTAGATTTATGTCGATTTGGGTGTAGTGTGTTTATTCGAGACAACTAATTTTAGTCAATAATTAATAGAAAATTAATACATTCATTATAAATTATTTATTCAAATAAAGAAAATTTAAAACAAAGGCTAAGGAATTAATACTTATATCTGTAGTGGTTAACCCAATGGTTATTTACAACCCAACCCAACCCAACCCATTTAAATTGACCCAATGGGTGATCAACCCATTTCTGAAAAATTACCACCCCTATTGGTGAGGCCAAATTTTTTTGCAAAACATGGGTTGAAATACATTAAAAATTCAAAATTTGGCCTATATGTAACATTGTATTCGTGGTAATCGCCTTATCAGGGCAATTTTTTTAATTAAAGTTTCTTTTTGTTTTTGAAATTTTAAACCCTACAAATTTTTTTTTTGCATTTAATTTAGTACCATACATTTGATATTTCCGAAATAAGAGATTTCTTATGCATATCCAGCCAAATGGGTCTCGTAAGAGCAATAAATTAGTCTTGGCCATCCATGTATTTATATCACGATTACAAGCAGTCTCAGCAATTCAGATAATTCAATAAAAATTTCTAAAATATTGAAGCCATGTATAGTGATGACTAAATAAACTTAGGGCATGGACGATCAACATTTAATCATTTTAGTTAATTAACCTCAGTCGTCGTACTTGGGTTTCAAGTAATCTAGCACACCCAAATTAAGTACCAACCCAAAAAAACTAGTCCATTAAAGTGATCTTTTAATATCAATGTTTTTATACCGATCAAGTGATATACCAATGGATCAAATAAAAAAATAAATAAATAAGGCCATCAAAGTAGCTTCCTAGAGCAACTAATTAATCTTACCCATCCAAGTGATATATCAAATCATTCCAATGATCTTCTAGATCATCAAAACGGTGTCCATAAATGAATCACTGGATCTAAATCATCAAAATGGTTTTTCTTTTTCTTTCTGGGGTAACTTGTGAGATCTAAGGCCTATACGGGTACAGGACAAAGATGGCTCTCGATTAGGAACAGTCCAGTCAACGGCCCACATATGCACAGGTAATCCCAATTTTAAGGGACAGGTGGTCCGGTATCATGATCTTCATTCTGCAAGTTGTCAACAATACGAGTATGGAATTACATACTCGGCCCAATCTAAGCATTCGTGGCTAATACATTTATTGGAATCATAAAATAAAGGCAACACAATTCGAACAATTTCTATTGTAAGATGCTCAACTCAAGACCATATTTAATCGAAACACACCAAACGCCCCGATCATGGACTCCTAGTTCTAGTAGATTCATGCAAATTAGTGTGCTCTCCACGTCCTTCACTCCTCATACTTAACAAAATATATGAATATATACAAAAAATAAGCAAGTCCTTCCTGGCAAATAGCTTCAAGTCAGCTGAACTCTTGAATGTGATTGTGGACCTTGGGATCCAATCCAATCTCAGATCCACACTATCATAGGCAAGAATGGCCTCTTGGCACACATCCGAAGGTTCAGAGCTGAATTGTTACACCCCATTTTTTAATAGCCCTTTATTAATTACTAGCATTAATCCGTCCTCTTGACAAAAGAAGCAAGGACAAACAAGCTGTTCCTTCTGTGTCAGAACTAATTACTGGATAAAAAATTACTATTACAGACAAAAAGATGGTTGAAAAAAGAGATACAAAAGTACAGTCTGGGAGTTGGGAAAGGCAGCCTCAAAACAAAATAGGGAACAGTGGCGAAATCCATCAGCCAGCTGCATTCCTTACCACGAAAATCATTATTTTCTGAACAGTTGAAGGCTTCTTTAGCACCGCCTTTCCCATCAACAAAAACCATCACAAGTTTCACACCTTGGGTCATAGCAAATAGAACTGTGAATAGAGATAATCTCGGATCTTATAATACTCTTCAGTTAAAGGGCCTTCAAGTACCACTTGCTGAGTCCCAGTACCACCACCCTATAAAATGTTCAGTCAGGAGAGAGAGAGAGAATGAGAGAGAGAGAGATGTTAATGATCTCATGTTGCATAACTGTAAGGTGGAACTAGTAAGAAATGTTAATCACCTTCTGCCCAGCATCTCCAACTTTTCGCAATGTCACATACTCACCACATCGCAAGGCACCACCAGCAAATTCTACCTGAAAGGAGTTACCAAAAGTAACTAACATAAGATATCATGAATAAAGCACCAAAAAATGTTGACTATCCAAAAGAATAAAGTAAGAGACATTACACCACCCCAATTCACAGGATCTTTCCAGACAGAACTCCAACTTTTATCAGTCTAATTTTGAACATGCTTACCCAGGATGTTGCCATGAGTGAGAACCTGGGTTCTAGTCTGCAAGTGGTTACTTTGTGCTGAAAAATGCCAAGGGTTTAGGTCTGTATCCAGTCTACCTCTCCCAAGACACCACAGATAGCTGGGACCAACATTGGGTAATGGCCATTTTTTCACCCAGGATGTTGCCCACCACTGAAGCGGTTAGGCAACCTGTTTGAAATATGTTTCATAACTTGAATCTTTTAAAAAGAACCGAGTTCACTTGGGTTAGGATTTTTAGAATCAAATTTTCTTTTCAAGTTGCAAATATTCAATTAGGTGATGAACATTTATTTATAAAGGAAGGTCATGCAACCAATCCTCGCCACATTTCTCAATGATAATGGGAAAAATATCTACTTGCAAAGAAGAAGAAACCACAAAAGGAGAGGGTGCCCACATAGTTAAGAACTGGGATGAAGCAAGATACAAGATACAATTAACTCTTAACTAACAATCAGACTGAACATATCCCTCTAAGGAGGCTACTAGGGCACTAACTGACCTAGGAAGCCAAGAAAATCATATTTTCAAACAAAATACCACATCCCAAACCACCATAGGCAGAAATCACAGCCTTCCACAGGTCTATCCTCTTAGATAGAGTCCAACCAATAACATTACATGAATCTTTTTAAATAACACCCTCTTTTTGTGAGAATTATTTCATGAAAGATCCTGTCTAACTAGATACCCCCTTTCCATGAACAGTAAGGAAATGACTAGCAAATCAGACCCTAATGAGCAGCTGTAGCAAGTTGCTGAGCCACTTTCGTGCTGCAAATCAGATCCTCATGGCAGTTTGATTGTAGCTATCCCTATCCAAGAGATGAGGTCCACATCTGGAACAGTCTCAACTGAATAAACAAGTTGGTTAACTTATTAATCGTACATGAAGAGTCCTTCAAGGAAGATGGCCCCCAATACATTTTTATCATCATCATCCAAGCCTTATCCCAACTATATGGGGTTGGTTACCTGAATCCTGTTTCACCAGTCCATCCTGTTTAGTGCCATATCCATTGCTAAATTATTGGTGCTTAAACCATTTCTTAGTACTACCCATGACCTCTTTGGTCTACCCCTTGCCCTTCTAGTCCCTTCAACTTGTAACAAATCACTTCTTATGGGAGCTGTTGATGGTCTTATATGCACATAACCAAACCATCTTAGTCTAGTTTCTCTCATTTTATCACCTATTGGAGCTACTCCTAAGTTCCAACAATCTACAAATGACTTCACTTCTGATCTTATCTTATCTAGTTTTTCCACACATCCATCTCAGCATATGCATTTCAACCGCACTCATTTCCTGGACATGCTTATTGACTGCCCAACACTCTGCTCCATACAACATTAGCTGGCCTTTCAACTGTTTTATAGAATTTTCCTTTTAATCCAAGTGGTATTCGCCTATCATATAAAACTCTAGATGCACCTTCCATTTTGTCCATCCTGCTCTAATTCTATGGGTGACATCCTCAATTTCTCCCTTGCTATGAGTTATCGAACCAAGGTACCAAAAAAGGTCACATTGAGTAATCTCTTGATTTCCAATCCTAAATTTATCCTAATTTGCACTTCCATTATTATTAGATTTACATTCCACATTATCTGTTTTAGATGTACTTACTTTAATACCTCTTGTTTCCAAGGCATTTGTTAATAAGCATAATTTTGCATTTAATTGTTCGTTAGTTTCATCAATGAAAACGATGTCATCAGGAAACAACATGCACCATGGGACCCCCTCCTAAATATGTTTGGTCAATTCATCTATGATCAGTGCAAATAAATAAAGGCCAAGTATTTTACTTAACTGTAAAATCTGATGGCTCCCCCACGGGTGTTCTAACATTGGTCCCCAATACATTTTTATGCATTTCAAAAGTCCTGTTACGTTCAAAGGAATGCATTTAGCAAGTACTGAATAAAGATACCTGGACACCCTTGCTTGCAAGGAATTGCTTGAAATCTGCTAACTTTAAATCACCAACAAGAACAGATTTGTGTGGTGGAGGTGGGGTTGAAAGAGGAAGCAGGGAAAGCATGTCATTATCTGTTTTCCCTACTTGAGCATCTAGCCAAGCTATCTCATAGTCACCAAGCTGTAAAATTGCACAACATTCAGATGCAGATCCAGGCAAGGAATTCACAACAAGCAGAGCACATGAACATAGATTATTTGCATCAGATACGGTAACATAAAGATGCTAACCTTCTTGAAGAGTACATTGCTCATCAACTTTTCAGAAAGTTGCACCTGCAATTGACATCGCATAAAATGTAAGACATACTGACCATTACTAGTTCATAACGATCTTACAGCTGTTCACTATTGCTACCTTGTAAGCACACAAATCCGAGGTGACATCAATTGTTTCACCAATCTGAGGAGCATACACATGGGGGCAAACATGTTTCAAGCAATGCTGCTTCAAATGCTCAGTTGCCTCTGCTGATCCATGCACCAAAACCTTCATGCAGGGAAATGCATATGGTAAACACAATACTTTATGGAAACTTATCAAATCAGCTTATGTTACCAAGAAAGATTACATAATAGTTGGATGATTTTGGTCCAGGAACCTTTGCTTCTCTCAATGGTTAGTGGCGGATCATCACCTTGGGAGTAATCCCTTTTAAGATCAAAGCATTTGGATTCAAGTTACAGAGTTCATTTTGAAGTCATTTCTCTTCATCATTGAAAAGTGATTTGATTTGCATATGCAATCAAGTAGGGTCGTCAAATCTTTGGCAGGGGCCTTTGTTGTCTGGTCTATTTCCTAAATGACACAAGAGAGACTGTCTTGGTGGATCTAAAGGAAATGCTTTCAGTGGCGGTAAGTGTAAAACACATTAGGGAGAATACAAGGCGTTCATCTGATGGGAGAATTTGTGGAGGTAGACCATTGGAAAAAAGCTTTGAAGACTGAATCTAAGGAGCTCCTATTTGAGGAACTGAGATTAAATGGTCAGCTGAGCTTGAAAATCAGGGAAGCAAAGAGAGGGATGGTG